TTGCTCAGGTGAAATATTTGGGATTAGATAAGATTTACAAGGAGGAGTTGACATTACATTTCAAGGTTTGCTTCTGCTATTGCACTGGTTTGCTGACATCATATTCCCTGGGCTCAAACCTCTGGGCTGAGAGCCAGCACTGAGAAAAGATTTTTTTGAAGGGTAGAGGAATATTTTCTCATTTCACCAGCTATGAGTTTCCTTCCCCATCTCCCCCTTTGCTACTTGTTCATTATTTAGCATTCGGCTTCTACAACATGCAATAAAAGGCAGTTTTAACCCTTGCTGTAGTTCTTTCTGCTTAACCATCTGCCATTGAAGGCACTGATGATATTACATGCAGCTTGATCTCCTCCTGACTCGTTTCTGACTTGCTGGTACATCCAGGTATTCTGTTAAACCGTCTTGGAGCCTCGCTGTGTCACAGCAGGATCTACACCAGGAGTAAATGCAGAGTCCACCAGGGAAGGCTGCTGATATAATTAAAATGATTACCCTGTGTTTGCACTGTGACTTAGCAGCAGTTAGGGAAAGTCCATGTGAATTCACTAATGACCTGTTAATGCTGTTTTTGTAAGACAGTGATCAACGGGGATGTTAAGTTTGAAGCACGCAAAAGCAGAAAGGAAGGACTGCCTTGGCACAGGAGTGTACCTGTGTGCCATCCCCATGTGCTCGAACGCATCTTATCCCTGTACCTCCTGCATCTCACCTGTGGAAAACAAGAATAATGTTAATTTTCATGAGAAGCTGTTGTTTGTGACCTGCTCCTGCATGCTTCTGAATCATACCCGTGCAGAGAGCATACCTCACCCCATAGGAATTAATAAACCCATTAACAGCCTTATGAAGCTGGATCTAGTGTGAGATGTTTCAGCTCAGCTGAGCGTAACCTGGCCTGAGAGCAGAGGCAGAGGACTGCTGGTAGCCGTGACGTTAGCATGGAAAATGGTTGTGGAAGAACTCAGTGCTGTGCGTCGAAGCGTCTTGCCACAAAGAAGTGAAGCAGATACAGAAATGTGGGCTAGCAGCAGCTAAAGAGGCCACAAAGAAAAACTGCTTTCTTCACCCCGTGTTCATCCTTCCTGCGAGATCCTCTTCTGCTCTCTTCCTTGCTGGTTGTGCTTCTGTCTGCTTTTAACCCAGCAACAGTGCAAAAATGACAAATTCTTCCTTTCCCAGCATCCGTTTCTTATTTTGCTACCTAGGCACAGAGGTTTCAGCAGGTTTACCTATTAATTTATGCTGTAGTACAGGAAAACTTCCAAACTACTGTGATCATACAGAGATCAGATTAACATTGTCATTTGAATGTATTCTATTCGGTTGTATTTAGCGTTACTTGGGTAGTGGTGGATATGTTAGCAGGCACAGACGTGCAATAACACTCTTGGTCCCAGGACTGCTCTGTTCTTCTAATGATCGCTGTTCATTAGAAAGAAATAAGAGTGTTTGGAGAGATGACAGAATCAGACATACCGGAAAAACTGGTTGTGTTACATCTTTGGAATAATCTGCTGTGCTTTCATGATGACAGCAGCTAGTCAGGTTTGGATTTGCCTCGCACAAACAAACCAACCAGAGTGATACTTCTCCCATAAACTCCTGTTGCTTCATAAATTCATAGCCATTTGAGACAGACAAAACTGTTGAGGTCATCTAGGCAATTTCCTGCAGAGAATGCAGTTTTCCCTGCAGTGTATTTTTGTCATACATTTGATTTAAAAAATTCTCACTGGTGAGAATCCTCTTCTTCAGACTGGAGTTCAAATTGGTCTCTGCTGAAATGGGTACATTTGTAGTCGGGCAATATTATCCTTTCCTAATTCAATCACACTATTTCCATATAACTCTAACTTCTAGTGCTTAGTTTCCTTTCATCCTTAATGCTTCATTTTTCAGATTCAAGATTAAGTCTATCAGTTATTGCTTCTTTTTAGTGAGATTTCTGGATTAGTGTGTCATACCTGTCTTCAGCCTAATTGCTGAAGTTATGCCAAGCTACTAATGACTCACGTCATCTTTTGAACTGTGTTCAGATGGCATTAAAATGGGTCAGGGGGTTAGGCCGTCGGAACAGAAAAGCCGAGTTACATAATCCCTCGGACTAAATTCCAATCTAAGGCACATCCAAATGATGTATTATAGAGCGGGAAAGCTGCCTGCATAATTCAGTGAGACTTCTCAGAGTCTGAGCGTGTGGTCACAGACCATTCTGATGTGCCATGAAGATGAAGATTGGTCAGAGGATTTAAACTGTTCTAAAACCTGCAAAAACAGTGCTGCAAATATCAAGTTACAGGGATACTACCCTTTTTGTAAAGCTTACTTGCATTATAGACATATGGAGAGGGCCTGTAGGCTGTGCATTAAGACGTGGTATTTTGAATACAGAGATTGTGTCAGTGAACACTTTAAGGGTGCTGCAGAAATATCTCTACAGTACAGGGAATTTTGTTAAATGTGTTAGTATTTTAGTGTTACACACTGAAAATGTGCGGGATGGGAGAATACTCCAAGTTATATTGCACATTATGAAATATGTGGAAGGTTGCAGCTGAGGAGGTGGTGCTGCTAGAACTAGACTGTATGTTGGCTGTGTCTGATGAGTTTGCGAACATCTCTGCGCTTGTGTGAATCCAGCTGATTCCTCTCCATCCATTTCACCAGGGAGAAAGGCTCCCGCTGTAGGACTTCTCACCTGCATTGCTGCTAGAAGGGATAATCTGGTGCTGGGCCCTCTGCTCAAGTGTCCGCGTGAGGAGCTCGGTCACCCTTGGCTCCCTGACTGCCCATGGGGCGAGAGGTTTCCTCAGAAGAGCCTGCCCCGAACACTGCGCTGAGCTGTGGGGAGAGTCTCTCCCTTGTCTCCGTGAGAGGCTGTGGGAGACCAATCTCGTAATTTAGTTAACACTCAAGCAACCCAGCCCACCTCAGCTGGCAACTCTTCTGCTCTTCTGAAGGGAGATTGCAAGTTGAGTGAATAAGGAGAGAGAAATCCCTGGACTTTCAGGTATTTGGCCCTTTCCGGATAGGACAGGCTGATGTTAAAGTACTGTGGAAGAAATTGTAGTGACTCTGTGCAGGAGCCTTCAGGGAAGTCAATCTTACACTTCCACCAGCCTTAAATTCACAGAACAATAAAGTGCAGTTGTTGTATTATGAGACCCAAATGTAGTACATGAAGAGTGTGCAGTACATTAAACCCATCTGGTTCATACAGAAACTCATGCATAATTCACAGCCTTTGTAAATATGTCAGTTTAATACCTCTCTGGCACCTATCACTGAGGCTCCTTCTCCCTTGGATTAGTCAAACCTGAAAGCTTCTGAAACCAGACCCTGAACTGTGTGACAAATAGTGCTGAGCTCTGATGATGAACATTAGTGATTAATAATTAGTTTTCATTTCATTAGGAAAAAGAATATAATCTAAGCTTTTTTCCCCCCTTTATACATTTTTAAATTTTCAGCTTATTATGATGCCAAAAGCCCTTTAGCTTTTCAGTAGCGTAGAGTTTCATCTAGGCATGTACATTGGCACCAAGCTTTGATTATCCTTCCCTGCCACACAGTGCGTGGCCTTCCGTGCCTCTGGTGGGCCAAAGCTGGTAGCAATCTGATTGCTCTTCTACACATTTATTTATGGTTTAGTTAATATGTATATATGTTTACATATATGTAGACCTCTAGACTGTAGCTTTGCATGCATGCTGCTGAATAGGAGTCACTTGCTAATACATGACATTGCACACATCATAGGAATTTGCCTTGTCCCAAGGCTGTTGGAAGCTAGAATGATGTGGGTCTATTTTCCTGAACTGAACTGCACGTGGTGTCAAACTCGTGGAAGTTCATGAGTTCTTCTTTGAAATGGTCCAAGGAAAGCAACATCCTATTTCAGCCACTGCTGCTTAGAGAAGAAGAAAAATCTCAAAGCCTAAGTCCCAAATTTACCACAGGTACTATGAAAATAATGTTAAACAAAACACATCTGACTCTGGCTCAGACAGAGGCTTAAAACTTGGAGAGCTGAAGGCATTAAATTACTAAAGCACACTGGTCCATAGGATGCTAAGATAGTCTGGGAGCCAAAGTCCAAGGGAGGCTAAAGGAGTTTTCTAGTGAATGTAGCTTGCTTTTGACTTGTTCTTTGGATGAGATTTTTGGAAGCACTCGGTGTTGCTCAACTCCATTGACCCTGTCTCCAGTTGGAACAGAGAGAAAACAGTGGCAGAGCTATCCCAGCCTGTTTGTCCTAACACTTTTGGGGGTAACTTAAAAGCCTTGAAAGGAAAAAAAAAATCTATCAAGTCAGATAGAGTGTATATCTCTCTCTAGAACTGGTTGTACAAATGATTTGAAAAGCTTGGCTTTAAAACTTTCCTTTTACCACACGATCCATGTGATTTTTTTTCCTCCACAGAGATGTGCCAAACCATTGGCAATGAAAGCTGAGTCTGCCTTACTGCATATAGGTTTTTTGGCTGGAGCTTACAGCCCACTTGGGGAAAGAAATGGTTGTCTGTAAGGAAGGAGCTATCGAAGGAGATCCTAACATCTGGAAACCCTCCCAGGGCACCTTTCTTCCTCCATCTCTCTGCTGGCCAATGGGTCTGTCTAGAAAACATGTGTCTCCTCACTGCTGCATCAGCTGCCGTGGTATGAGCCTCTGTCATACGAGTCCTTCTTGAGCTCTGGTTGTTTCTGCTGTCTTTGGATTGCCATTTACGAAGTTTTAAAAGCCAGTAAGAGCAGTGTGGCAACCATCGTATGGAGCGGGACTGAGAACAGTCCCATGTTGAGCACTCCAAGGTGCCACTACTGTCAGCAAAAATAAGGCTGAGTCTCTGCCAGGTAGAGCTGCGAAATGTAGTAAGAAGGGGTGATCTTGTGTAGAAAAGATGTTTGTCTTTTATTTCTACCAGTCTGTCTACTCTGATCAGTGTGGCTCCCCTGCTCTTCATTCTCTTCTGAATGCTTAGAATTTTTCTCATTAGGAAACAAAACAAAAGCTTTCAATAATAACGAAAACAAGCGCAAGTCTTCCTGCAAGTACAAGAACATGAAAACTGGCTGTTCTTTCTCACTGAGGCTATCTGAACCAGACAGCCTTTCCCCTTTCATCTTTAAAGTCGTTGATTTAAGGAAAGAGAATGATTATACAATCATTAAGGATAATGGCTATTTACTTTTGGAAACAATAGACTTGATGGACCGCAAAAAGTGACCTCATTTGCAGAAGTGCACTTGCCTTGGAGCAGACTAGCTTGGTCTGGGATGGAAGTAAGTAAGTGCATTATCTTCATGAGGTGGTAAGAAGTGACCTTTTGTTCTGAGCTAAATCACTGATTTTTCTCTTGAGGACTGACATGGTCCCAGCCTTCAAAATGTATCAGACTAGAAAACAATACAAACGTACTTAAAATAATGAATTCAAAACAAACAAACTAAATAAACCTTTGTAATGAGTACAAATTCTCAAGCTTACCTGAGACAACTTGCTAGGTTTTGCTGTAATCAACTTGCATGTGCTAAAACTACAGCTTAGTTCCACCTGCACTAGGGGATTTTACCGTGTGCTCATAAACGTGTGCAAACACCTCCTCTTGTTTAAACATATCCACTTAGGTTACAATGTAATTAACAGCTCAGTTAAAATGTGTTAGGACCTGTGAATGCAAAAATAAGAGAGAGGGTGTTACTGTGCTACCTAAAAACTAAAATGTCCTAAAACCATGTCCTGTGCTAGCTGGGTCGCGTGGCAGGATATTACGATTATCCCCATTCCTGCCTCAAGTCTCTTGATAGTCCTTTCAAGCTATGTGCCCATGGAGCCTAGCAGAGCTCTGTAGTATCTACAGCCTGAGCCTAACTCGCGACTGCTGCTCCCTTTTGAGCAACTGGGTCCTCATAGTTGTGGCATTTCTATGTGGTGTTGGTTTGACATTCACTCCTGACCTCAAGACTGGAAGTGCCGCTGAAAACCCAGATAAAGTAAGTGCCAGGAGTGGTCCTGGCAGCCAGTACTGATGAGAGGTCCAAATGTGCATGGCAAAATAAATACTGTGATCCTGCTTTGCTGCTGCAAAATAATCACTGAGAGCTGTGTGTGAGCCTAATGATGAAACACTGAAAAAAAAACACGCAAGGAAATCAGATCTGGGCAAAACATTTACAGGTCTAACTTCGAGTCTAGGCACGTGGCTCGTGGTAGCCAAGTGAATACATCATGTGAAAGCATCCTCAAATTTCATGCAATCAGGGAAGTTTTATAGTCACTTGATAAAATAGGAAGGTTATATTTTTGACTATGCAATTTTAGGTTTGCAAGCTCAGGCCTACTGAATTTTACAAAATGCCAATCTTGTCTCTCGCCGCACCTATATGTTTTCGCCCTGTGGAGATGTGCACACTTAATTCCTGTCAGAGACAACCAGCCATGCCATCAATTCCTTCTGCTGGGCCCTCGGCAGAGAACACCAACTGTAGCAACAACATAACGTGAAATTCTTGGTTCCTCTTCCAAGTGGAAGTCTGTGTTGGAGCCAACACTGAGCTCTGGAGGGGGACGTGTGATGGATGTTTTGGTCACTGACTCTGCTTCTTAGCACTTTTGCTCAAAACGCCCCATGATTTTTGCTGGTGATTATCTGCCTGAAGCAGGTAGACCGTGAGGACAGGATTATCAATTATGCTTCTGTACTTCCTCTTGTCAAAATGCTTTAAAAGTGCATAGTAAATAAACACATAGTAAATAAACACCCTAAAACTGCTTTAGACTAATGGAGTGAAGGAGTCTTTTTGTAAAGAAGAATCAAGCCCAGAATATTTTGAAGCTGTGAAGGGAATTATGTTATTGGCATCTGAAAAATGTGTTCCTCTTTTTAGGAAACGTGTTGTTCAGTTAGCGTTTTAAGTTAAATGGTCAGCTGGGTGAAGTTACAGGAAGAAGGTCCACAGTTAGTGCTACAGCCTCCTTCCCACTTCTGCCATCTTCGCCTTCCAGGACAATCCTGAGAGCCTTGGCAGAGCTCAGGTTTTGAGTTCATTTTTAGGTCATTTCTGCATTCATTGCCGCTGCTTAGTTCAAGTGCAACATGCGATCCAGCTCGTTTTCCTGCTCTGTGTGGACTCTGCCACATGCGTGGCCTCACTCCCATGTTAACAAAGTGCATCCAGTAAATGGTTGCTGTTTCACGGCTGCAGCACATAAATGCTTATTGCTTCATGGTTAAACACGGGATTAGGTGATTAGTAAAAGGACATAGGCTGCATTGCAGGTGGGTGCTTGCTTGGTGCCTTGCTCAGCCTGCTGTGGCTGCTCAAAAGGAACTTACCCTGTAATTTTCAGGGAAGGAGAGAAGCTAATTTTTAATATTCTTTTCTGTTGCCAGCATGTGTTTCATCATGACCCTAAAATTACATATATTGACAGTTGCTTTTCACACATAGATTCATAAGGGCTTCATGCTGAAATCAGCGCAGTGACTTTCAGCTATAGTGCAGCTAATTTGGCGCAAAGATGTGTTTAATAACAGTAACTTTGTCCCCTCTCTCTAGAAAATAAAAATATACATACATTTATGTTTGTGTGTGCATGCAGAAAGTGAAGCATTTTCCACGAATGCCTTTCGCTTTTGAGTTTATTGTACAAAAAAAAAGGTCTAGAATGGCAGTATTTTAATGAAAATGCTTTTATTGGCAGTGTGCAGTTATGGTGGTCCAAGGTGACCTAAACTTTATTATAGAAAAACATCTTGTGTCACCTAGTTGAACAACTGATGGTCTTGGGAAAAGCAAGCTTCCGAGCACACAAGGCTTTCTTCAAGTTTGTTTTCTTGTGTTATGTGATTATCACAGGAGCTTTAATGGGTGAGATATAGATATGTTGAGACTTCAGCAGACTTTCTAGTCTCTCATTTTGTTTTGCATCCTGGCCAGTGAACCACGTTAAGGCCCTTTCCACTGCACTGGTGCACACTGGACAAGTGTAACTGAGAGCTGCTGTGGTTCTGAGCAAACACTGCCATATGATTCCTTTCTGAACCTTTTTTTTTTTTTTTTCCCAACTAGTTTTTTGCCAAAGTTGCTAAGTCACCCAAGAGCCTGGGTTTAAAATCCCTTGCACAGTCCGAGCTGCTTAACATGTGCTTGGTCTGCATGTCTGGAAAAGCAGAACGGTTTTGTAGGTGGTTGTTAAGCCTCTGGGGTGTGTGTCCTTGCCTTGTTTTAGGACCTTCTCGTACCCCACGACCACATTCAAATCTGGTCACCTCCTCTCAGCGCAAGCAGAAGACCAGGAAGGCTCTGTCTGTATTTAGATCAGGAAAAAAAGCCTCATACATTTCAAGCTGTCTGCCTGGGCAGCCCTCACCTCAGCGTTCTGCTTTCTGGATACAAAAGTGGTTTACACGAGTGCACTGGGCTTCTGTAAGAAGAGATTTTCCTATAGCAATAGGCTATAGGAAAGCAAAGCCCTTGATGCCGGTGTAGCTGTTTTCACAACAAAGGGGAAACCTCTGAGTGTTTGGAAGGACTCCAGGTTAGACTGTGATTGTTTCCCCATTTCTGTGGGTGGCTACTAAGAAATTAATTAAGTGAGGATGCTTTTATTCTAAAATATTTACGTTAAAATTGCAGATTTACACTTAGGAGGCCAAAAATAACAATCATAGTAATGACATATTTGGTTTGCTCGCTTCTATATCTCAATGCTGCTTCTGCTTTAAAGGCGAAGGGTGGAAGTGACTTCAGGTTTTACACAACAGAGTTGTGTAAAATCTTCCCATGCAACAGGGTGGGGACTACTCTATTAAAAAGCAGGGGAATGATCACGTCACTTCTTCCTATAATACACATAATTCTGAAATCATTTTCTGCCTGCTTGCAAGGAGAGCAAGGAGATAATGAGCAGAGAAATGGCTTTGGTGCTCAGACTCCTTATATCCAGAACGAACCAAAGAAACACAGGGTGGGAAATCAGACCTGTGCAGTGTTATCATGCATTACCACACATTACTGTGCCACGCATTCCCGTGCAATTGGGCCGCAATGCCTGGCACAGGACCAGGACTCCGCAGTGCTCGGCACTGCAGCAGCGTGGAGCAGCAAGGTGGTTTTGTCTGAAGAGCTTTTAATCTTAATAGAAACCAAGACCTAGCAGATGGGCATAGACAGCTACACGAGGGAGTACAGAGAAGTCAACAGCAGTCTGCGAGAAGTGATTTCACATGCCGGGCATGAGTTCTGGCGTAGGTGGCACTGAAAAGTTGTCACAGGAAAAATCGAGACGCAAAACAGTAGGGATAGGAAAGACAGGATGGAGGAAAGCAAGAAAATGCTTGTTGGAAAATCTGATAGCTGGGTGATAACAGAAGGTTTCATGGGATGATCAGAAGCAGAAATCGACACCAGGGTAGCAAGTAAGAAATGATAGATGGGGGAAGATAAGTGATGGAAAGCCTTGAAAGCAAAGATAAGGAGCCTGTATTTGATGCACGAGTGTGGGGAGCGAGCTGGTGCAGGCAGCAGGCAGCAGTGAGTGAGGTAAGCAGAGTGACAGGCCTAGCAAATGGTCTTTGCAGAAGCTTGGAGGGTGGGAGAGAGCAAGCTTCCCTTCATGGAGCTTGAAAAAGCAGGAGTAATTGAGATGTTAGACGCTGGAAGCCTTAGGAGGGAAGTACTGCACAGATGCTGTGTAAAAGGAACCTGCAGGATGTCTTGTCTATCCCTGCATGTTAACACAGGCTAGAATGAGTTGTGAATTTAAGGTGTGTTTTCTGTTACTAAGTACTCCACGTGAGGGTAGCTCTGTCCAGGAGCAACAGTTCCATTTTTCGGAAGGTCTGAGAAGGACCTTCTTCATAGTCTGGATGTGCTGACCTAGAGGAAGTGCCTGTTTAAGGTGACGGCTTGTGATACGGGGCTGAGCTGGGTTGTCTCCAGGCTTGCCTGGATGAGCTGTCCCAAAAACGAACCGAGAATGTACTTTGTACCAAAAGTGAGAAGCCTGCCACAGTTGTACATCTGCGAGTCATCAGTTTAGACACAACTAAAACTGTGTCTGCTGATAAGATTACTGAGAGATAAGAAGCAGTGTGGGGGGAAGAGTGGGTTTGAATCTTGTACAGAACAGGACCGCAGAATATTGGAGAGTGTGGAAAGAAGCAGGAGAAATCAGATTTCAGGTTGTTAAAATCATGGCTTTTGCACAGACAACCTAAACAA